TGGTCATTCTGAGTTTTCCCCTTCCCCTTTGATCTGCCTCCACCACTTTTGAATTTTACATCAAAGGTGATCAGATTTTTCAGTTCTAGCGAGCCTTTGCTTCTGATTTTCTTGATATCTGTAATTGGTTCCATTCTTCTTGCTTGCCTACTCCCATCAATTTGCATAAGTAGTTCAAGAGTTTCCTTCTCATGGCCTTTAAAATCAATTCCGAACATCTTACTGAGTCTTAGCAAATTTTGTCTAACCCAGGCAGTTGCTTCCAACTCCTTTTCCAGAACTGCTTCTTTCTGTTCTGCTTGTAGTGGAGATACATCTTCTACTTCCCACAGATCCCCATTGATTGACGGGTCAAAGATTGATAATTGTTGTTGTTCCTGGATTCGAATCTCCCCTCTCGTGTCTCCTTTCCCCTCGGCATTGAAACTCCCTTCATCTTCCCCAGGTACCACTTGCATGTTGCCATCGATTTCTCTGTCTGGAGCTTTGCCATCTATCGATGCCATCTGCAAAGTCCCAGATAGATTGTCAGACTGATTCAAAAGGGGCTTGCTCGACGTGAGTTCTACTAGGAGCATGTCCCTTCTTTCATTAATGGGTTCCTCCATAATATTGTTGTAAATAAATTGGGCTGGATCAGGCACAATACAATTATTGCTGTCAAGATGGCCCAGAGGGTTCAGTGTAACTCCCAAATAATTCCCATGCTCCTCACGTGACCCCACCTGGGGATTAAAATTTGAAATATCCACTCCGACGTGACCCTGACCCCTCCAGTCAATAGTTGTCAACTGTCCAACAGAGTCTATTACCTCATAGGACTCTACGGACCGCTGGACAAAAAAAATTGTGCCATTGAGTTTTTCATCTCCAGGCACCGGAGACACCACCGGAGTTCTTTGAAAACTAGGTTTTCTTTCCACCCAGATCGGGATAAAGAAATTTAGACCCTCTTTCGAGATAGTTACTTCAATTGGGACGTTTCGGCCATCCCCCTTTACTTCGATTCGAGCCCATTTAAGGTGATTCTTCAAACCAGTCTCTTCCTCCGTCGATTTCCAGCCACCACAAAGGTCTACAAATTGTCGAAAAGTTTCATGCGACCATAAGTGAAGAGGTATCCCAATCGCTCTGATCCAAGTCGTTTTGCTCTTCTGTGCCGCCGGAGTGCACCCAGTTATAGGGTTCCACCATTCCCACATTCCCAACGAACCCTAGATTTCTTCCAGGTCCACCCTCCTTGAAGTGTCTGCTCAGCCATATTCCTATTGGGGAATTCAAAAAGGAAAGTGTTGTCTATCATCTCGTAGATGTTAACCCCAAAAACTTTCTTACAAGTTGATGATGCCCATTTCCTAACCTCGCAGAGGGTAGGCATCTCAGAGCCAAGATTGCCAAAGTTTCCTGTGATACATCTTCCAAGCAAACCTCTGCCATACTCAATTGTAGCAATAGTGGAAACCTCCTGCCTTTTGCTTTCTGGAGCTTCAGAGGTAGATGAAAGCCATTTACTGCTCTCAACAACCTTGGCATACGAGTGGTTAGTATCAACCATTCTGTGAGGAGCTATTAATGTTCTTGGTGGTGAGTAATTAATGAAGTTTCCTATCTTGAGTGCAATGTCTTTCCAACCAGCATTGAAAGCTTCTAGCAGTATAACTACTGCTCTGTCCACTCCTTTTAGAGACAAAAGACTCATAAATCTTCCATGAGCAATAAACTTCCTTGTACTAAAATACTCTGCCATTTGGTCCTTCATTCTCCATCTCCTCACAAAATTCTTGTTGTCGTTTGAGGCTTCTTTCAAGACAAAACAGATCCACTCCATCACTTTTTTGCTGAGAGTTATTCTTCTCATCATGTTTCTACTGCGCTCCACCCAATCAAACCAGACTTCCTCGCCAGATGTCCATCTGGTAATATCGAATGACTTGAAACCAGCATGGAAATAAATCCTATTTTCCCCCATGTCTGTGGAAGGGAGATGAAGTTAAGGAAGGGAGAAAGCTATTGCAGAAAGAGATAGCTGAGGGGAGGATGAGGTTGGTAGTTTTCAGGCGACCTGCCGGAAAGAGGGTGCTCTCTCTCCTAGAAAATAGGAGAGAGAGTTTTGGGGAAGTGTGCCTGAGAGCTTTTTTTCATGACTACAGGTTTTTATTTTTCACCAAGTCCTTACGAATCCCGATAGAAATAGTACTTTTGGTAATCAAAACCTAGATAAGGTACGAGATAACGAGTTAAATAATTTAAATGAAAAAATTGAGACAATAAAGCCTTTTCATGACTCAATTAATGACAAGTACATGGAACATACAAAGGAATTACAGGTTTACTCGAGGAGAAACCGGAACAAAAAATAAAAGATTAAGCACACTCATAAGAACCAAACTCCACCCCCTATGATCTCACTGATATACAAGTGCACTTTTTTTCTTTATTTTTTTTTTGATAACCGAGAAATCCGTCTGTGACCCGCCCTTTGGACCAATCACAGCCTTCTAAACTCGGTGGATAATGGGCCCGCCCCTCTATCCTTCTCCACTTAAATACCGGGCTTCGCTTTGCATGGTGTGGGGCTTATACAAGTGCACTTTGATGATCATACTTACAGGAAATGACTTCTTAGAATGAAGAATTTAAAAAATCAAAGAACATCCAATCTGTCTAAGACTTGGTGGAAAGGGTTACCTGCTACCTACTGCTAGTGGGAGGTTGTTAGACCCCTAGAATAGCTATGCGACGTCGGTACTGACATGACAAGGACTTGGCATTGGACTTGGCATGGGCATGGGAAAACAATGCGGGTGTGCGACTAAGTGTTGGAGTGCAGCAAAGTGTTCAAGATGCTGGAGTGTTGGCTAAGCAGCTTGGATGTGAAAAGACTAAGTATGTTGGAGTGTTGGGAAGGCAGACTTAGGACCAAGGATGCTAGAGTGTTGGCTTGGCAGACTTGGGCATGATGACAACGACAGGCGTATGGCACCTTAGGGGCATACATGCAAACAGTGGTATCGGCAAGACAAGGCAAGGCAGCGTGCTGACTTGACAAGACAAGGTTGTGGGAACTTGATGAAGGCAAGGCAGGACAGCATGTGGGCTTGACAAGGCAAGGCTGTGTAGACTTGACGATGGCAAGACAAAGCTTGATCAGTGTTGGCACAAGTTGGCAGAATTGAAGAAATAAAACTAAGGCTGGGAGACGGCTGAAATATTCTAAGTATGGGCAGATGCAATTCGGCTAAGGCAAATAAATAATATGTGCTAGGCTCATGTATTGTGTTTATTTGAATTCGAATTGTAAAGAGCTGTTAGAGTTAGTTTTATTTGGACAGATTTGACCATGACATGTGTTAGACACTTGGCAGTTTTGAAACTGTTTGTAACTGCCATGTGTAGATTTAAAATGGGGTGGAAATTCGGCTAAAGCAAGCAGGAGAGTGTTCTGTCCCTTGGTCGAATTCATGAAGCCTTTCCTTTGCTGAATACATATTAATAAAGGTTGGGATTCATCCTGTAAACGTCTGAGTGTTCCTCAATATAGTACGTTGCCTAAAAGTAAAAGAAAACTCGTAAGTGTTAGACAGATTCGAGTGTATTGATAGGCTGAAGTTTGCAAGCGTTGCAGGTGCCGTGCAGTGGTGTTAGACGAAAAAATCGAGCCCGTATCAATTGGTATCAAAGCATAAGACGTACGAGATGGTGACGAACACAGAACTACAAGAATTGGTGCGCAATATAGAGGCATTTGTTGGCATAAGGGATTGGCACGGGACTGATCCTACGTTTTTGGATCTGTTCACCCAAATTAATGGCTTGAGAACGGAATTTGAGGCATTTCCGACAGAGTTGAATCAATATTGTGTTGATGCTGAAGACCAACTGCTAGAAGGTCTTAATTTTCGTAAAGCAGCAGCACTACAGATCGACGGACTGCTGAAGGAAGACAAAAACCTTCACGCAGAGATGAAGGTGTTGCGAATGACCGTTGCTGCTTCTAAACCGACGGGTGGGGATGTCTCTAAACTAAAGTTCCCTTAACCTAAGTCTTTCAGTGGTACAAGAAGTGCCAAGGAACTGGAAAACTTCATTTGGGACGTGGAACAATACTTCAAAACAAGCCGAATTGCGGAGGACGACAAGTTGAACATTGCTTCCATGTATTTGTCCAGTGATGCTAAACTTTGGTGGCGGTCTCGGAATTTGGATGATGAAAGTGTTGGTCGACCAAGGATTGATACTTGGGCCAAATTGAAGAAGGAAATGAGAGTACAGTTCCTCCCAAGCAAATGCATCATGATTTTTCACATCATATATACACAAGTATATTTTTTTATGTATACATCCTTTATATAATTCTATAACATCTTCTGACTATTGGTTAACTATACCGAGAGAGAAACTTAGACCCCTGCAGTCTGGACCTTTTACAGGCAGCTATTGTCTACTGCAGCAGATAATAAATTCTTACTACCAAACATGTTTCAAAAACGGATTTCTCCTCTGTATTTCCCTTCTGAGACTAAAAATGAAACTAGCAGTCAACCTTTCCAGTTCACAATTGCCTCCCAGAAGCAGGTGTTGGTCATGCTGCCACATCACACATGTTGACATCCTATTCTCTGCTACAATGTATTAATTTACGGTAAATATGTATTAATACCCAATTAATAGCTATCCTATCATCCCTAACATCACCAGATACTAGGCTGAAATTACTGAATGTTCATCAGAGCTGAGCCAGAATCAACAGTAACCAGTCTCACCATACCATAACTTCCTTTCTCCTTAAAAACAGGACAATATTGCTTACTCTTAGTAGTTACATTGAAGCATATCATTGACTTGAAGATCACAAGATAATCTAAACAAAATAAAACGCTAATTTATCTAATATGATTTACTCAAATACCAACCTGCCATTCTTGAAAGTTGCCTATGTAAAGCATTAACATCACTTGTTGAATAGAGGTTAGAAATAGTACCAGGGGTTGTAGACTCACCATTTGCTGAAGAAGATCCTGGACCTGGAAGAGCAGAAAGAAGGGTTAAAATGCCAAACTTTTGTCCTTGCAACATGTGAGAAATATATACGAAAAATATTATTGAATTGTGTATCTAAATAGTTACATTGAGACCCTATTTATAGACACTACATTGGAATCCTTTTCCAACTAGGATTCCTATTCTTATTCCTATTCCTATTTCTATTCTAAGTAGGAAATACTTATTTCTATTCTAACACTCCCCCTCAAGCTGGTGCATACAAATCATATGTACCTAGCTTGTTACAGATGTAATTAATACGAGGACATGTGAGGGACTTGGTGAAGATATCTGCAAGCTGATCATTTGACTTCACAAATTTCGTAACAATATCTCCCGAGAGTATCTTTTCTCTGACAAAGTGACAATCAATCTCAATGTGCTTAGTCCTTTCATGAAACACTGGATTTGATGCAATATGAAGAGCCGCTTGATTATCACACACAAGTTCCATCTGATCAACTTTGCCAAATTTTAGTTCTCCCAGCAACTGTTTGATCCAAACTAGCTCACAAGTTGCTGTCGCCATTGCTCGATATTCTGATTCTGCACTAGATCGAGCAACCACATTTTGTTTCTTACTCTTCCACGACACCAAATTACCTCCTACTAAAACACAATATCCGAATGTCGAACGTCTGTCAGAGGGTGATCCTGCCCAATTAGCGTCTGTATATCCAATGATATGCTCATGGCCTTGATCCTCAAAGAGTAGTCCTTTACCGGGAGCTGACTTTATATGTCGCAGAATACGAACAACTGCTTCCCAATGACTATCACAAGGGGAAGTCATAAACTGACTTACAACACTCACAGGAAAAGAGATGTCAGGTCTAGTCACTGTGAGAAAATTCAACTTTCCAACAAGTCGTCTATACCTTTCAGGATTACTAAGTGGCTCCCCCTGTCCTGGAAGGAGTTTAACATTCGGATCCATAGGAGTGTCAACAGGTCTACATCCCATCATTCCTGTCTCCTCAAGAATGTCTAAGGCATACTTGCGTTGAGAAATAACAATACCTGATCTAGACTGAGCAACCTCAATACCTAGAAAATACTTCAATCTGCCAAGGTCTTTAGTTTGGAAGTGCTTAAAGAGATGTTGCTTCAAATTGGTGATACCATCTTGATCATTATCGGTGATAACAATATCATCAACGTAAACAACCAAATAGATACATCGATTTGGTGCAGAATGCCGATAAAACACAGAGTGATCAGCTCCACTACGAGTCATGCCAAACTCCTGAATTACTGTGCTGAACTTCCCGAACCAAGCTCGAGGAGACTGTTTTAGACCATAGAGTGACCTGCGCAATCGACATACAAGGCTACTAGACTCCCCCTGAGCAACAAAACCAGGTGGTTGCTCCATATAGACTTCTTCCTCAAGATCACCATGCAGAAAAGCATTCTTAATGTTCAACTGATGAAGAGGCCAATGACGAACGGCAGCCATAGATAGAAAAAGACGAACAGATGCAATTTTAGCCACAGAAGCGAAAGTGTCACTATAATCTAGCCCAAATATCTGAGTATACCCTTTGGCAACAAGGCGAGCCTTAAGTCGATCAATCTGACCGTCTGGACCAATTTTGACTGCATAAACCCAACGACAACCAACAGTAGATTTACCTGCAGGAAGGGAGACAAGCTCCCAAGTACCACTCTTATGTAAAGCAGACATCTCATCAACCATAGCCTGCCTCCATCCAGAATGAGAAAGTGCTTCACCTGTAGTCTTAGGAATGGAAATAGAGGACAAAGACGACACAAATGCATGATGGGGTGATGTTAGACGATGATAACTTAAGAAGGTATAATGTGGGTTAGTATTTCGAGTGGATCGTATACCTTTTTGAAGTGCAAGCGGTTGGCTAGGAGGAGGCAAGTCCGCAGTAGGAGCAGGGTCCAGCGCATGACATGAATCATCTGGGACTAGGGTTGGACGTGGACGGCGATGATAAGTTAGTAGTGGTGGCACTACAACTGGAGATGTAGAAGTAACCGTAGATTCCTCAAAGGTTGGCACAGGTAAAACTTGAGGTATGGGTAAGACCATAGAGACATCAGGATGATCAGAAGATGTATAGTAAGGCTGAGACTCAAAAAATGTAACATCAGCGGACATAAGGTATCGATGAAGATCATGTGAATAACAACGATACCCTTTTTGGACTCGAGAGTAACCAAGAAAGACACATTTGAGGGCACGAGGAGCTAATTTATCTTTTCCTGGGGCTAAGTTATGAACAAAGAATGTGCTCCCAAAGACACGAGGAGGGATAGGATAGAGATGTGACTGAGGAAACAGTATGGAATGGGGAACCTGATTCTGAATAGAAGAAGAGGGCATTCTATTTATCAAATAACAAGACGTAAGAACTGGATCTCCCCAAAAACGCAGTGGAACATTGGATTCAAGGAGAAGAGTACGAGCGGTCTCAATAAGATGCCGATTTTTTCTTTCAGCTACACCATTTTGTTGAGGGGTGTATGGACAAGTAGTCTGGTGAATAATGCCTTGGTGAGTCATAAACTCCTGAAATTGGGAGGATAAGTATTCTAAGGCATTATCACTACGAAAAGTACGAATAGAAACACCAAACTGATTTTGTATTTCAGCAAAGAAACTTTTGAAAATAGAAAATAACTCAGAACGATCTTTCATTAAGAAAACCCAAGTACATTTTGAATAATCATCAATGAAACTAACAAAATAACGAAATCCTAAGGTAGAACTGACTCTACTAGGACCCCAAATATCAGAATGAACTAATGAAAAAATAGACTCTGAACGACCCTCAGTACTACGAGAAAACGTAGCACGAGTGTGTTTCCCAAGTTGACACGACTCACAATCTAATGTGGATAAACTAGACAAACTAGGCACCATCTTTTGCAGTTTGGATAGACTCGGATGTCCCAAACGTTTGTGAATTAGATCTGGGGAATCTGTAACGGAGCATGCTGCTAAGGAATTTGAAGAGGTAAGATAGTAAAGGCCTTGTGATTCATGTCCTGTTCCAATCATCTGTCCCGTACTGCGGTCCTGCATGAGAAAAAAATCATTGAAAAAAGTTATGCTACAATGTAGGGCTTTCGTCAAACGACTAACAGATGCTAGATTAAAAGGAGAACCAGGGACATAAAGAACAGAGTCTAGGGTAACAGAAGATAGGGGTTTGGCTTTTCCAACCCCTTTTGGTTTTGTTTGGATTCCATTGGCTAAAGTAATAGCTGGAAGAGATTGTGAATAAACAATATCGGATAAAAGTGATTTATTACCAGAGATATGATCAGAAGCCCCAGAGCCCATGACCCATGTTCCAAGAGTACTAGATTGCGACACACAAGCAAAAGAATTACCCACAACAGAGGCATCAGGTTGTGCAACCGAAACTACTTGTGGAGACGTTTGCTTATTTGCACGATACTGAAGGAACTCATCGTATTCTGTCTGAGCAATATGAGCATTATTGGATGGTTGATTAGGTTGAGCACCATATGCTACTGGTGGAGATGTCTGTTTACTTGCGCGATTTCGAAGGAACTCATTATATTCCTTTAGAACAATAGGATCATAACTGGGTGGTGGACCATGCAAAATATAACATATATCACGAGTGTGTCCAGGCTTATGACAATGACTACACTTGGATCGAGGTTTCCCAAAACGCCCTCCCCCTCGCCGATTCTCCATAGATTGATATGTACGCTTTTCAAAGGTTTGAGATGCGAGAATAGATGAGTCAACAGTGGGTGATGAAACTACCTTGTGACTGGGAGGTGCCGCAAGACGAAGGAGACGAGAGAATAATTCATCGATTGTAGGAACTGTAGGGCTAGCTAAAATCTGATCACGTACAGAATCATGATCAGGAGGAAGTCCAGCAAGAGTAAGAACTAGAAACAATGTTTGTCTGTGTTCTTGTTGTTTTTCCACATTCGTAGTAACTGGCATTAATGTGTCAAATTCCTCCATGACTGCCTGTACCTGTCCCAAGTAAGTAGACATATCGGATTCTTGTTTCTTTAAGTTGGTCAATCGAGATATCACATCATAGAATCGAGATATGTCATTAGTGTATAAAGCACGAGCCTTTTCCCAAACTGTATAACACGTCTGGAATGGGCGAAACAAGGGCATCAACTTGGAATCAATAGAACGCCATAGGAGACTACATAATTGAGCATCTACTTTCTCCCATTGTGCTTTGGCTTTTGCATCTTCCTCACTAGTCTTTGCCTTTACATCTACCTCATAAGCCTTGTTCGTTAAGTGATCTTGGACACCTTGACCCTTGCACCACAGCTCAACCGAGGAAGCCCAAGATAAATAGTTTGAACTTCCCAATAAAAGTTCTGAAGTGATTATAGGGCTAGAACTTCCAATCCCCATATTTTTGGAACCAAAAACATCACACCCAAAAGACATTATGCTAAATTTGTCTCGAAAAATTCAAATCTCGAAGAAAAGTCGCCGGAAACTGCCTGGAAATAGCCGGAACCCTAATTCCGGCGATCTGATCTGGTCAAAAACAGTATGGGCCTGGTCGGAATGGCTGGACGACCCCAACTGTCAAAAAAAATCTCAAAAAATATGATCAGAAAAGTCCTCACGCGCCGGCGCGTGAGACAGATCTCGCCGGAAACTACCACCTCCGATCGGCGTGTGAGAGCGTGTGGGGCGGTTTTTTCCGGTGGTTTTGGCTGGGGTTTGGTCGCGGGGGCTTTCCGAGCCTCGTGGTGGTGTTGGTTTTCGCACAACACCCACAGAAAGAAAAAAGAATAACAAAATCAGACCCAAAAGTCACCGGAAATTGACATAGACACACGGTGACTTGTTTGTTCTCACCAATGCTCTGATACCATGTGAGAAATATATACGAAAAATATTATTGAATTGTGTATCTAAATAGTAACATTGAGACCCTATTTATAGACACTACATTGGAATCCTTTTCCAACTAGGATTCCTATTCTTATTCCTATTCCTATTTCTATTCTAAGTAGGAAATACTTATTTCTATTCTAACACAACAATTCAAAATACAACAACAAATACCAGTTTACATTAGTTCAACCTTAATGTTATTTCTTTTCACTTATCTACTCCATTCATTTACATCTCAAGTCACTCTAAAAGTTCTTTTATCAAAGTCAATACAACAGTCCTTTTCATTTTACTCCTAAATCTATACAATTCAATCCAGATCAATTTAATGGAGCGGAGGAACAGCATGTTTTATTGGACTACATCTTAAATCTCTAATACAACTATCTCCCTTCAATTATATATTTATATTTGTTATAACTGTATGATTTTTTTTCAAGATTCCAAAATTTGTGCAGACTGCAGCCTTTACAGTAACATACAGACATCACTTAACATTGATCCATTCGTACAATTTTTCTGGAAGGTGCCCTATGTGAGGTCATCTGTGTTAATAACTTTTGAACCATGATTTCTGAGGCTACAAAATTTTGATGAAGCATGACTAGAAGTCTAGAACAATCAATGTGATCCTACTAAAGAAGAATGAAACAAATTCATATAGAAATCAAGTATATATTCGCAAGAAGATGGCACATAGCAAAGACCTCTCCTACTTCTAAAATGGTTCAAAAAGATACATCCACACAGAGAAGGAGAGGCGGCACCCCCTGAATGCAAACAAACTCAATAGTTTCTAGATCTACTGAGCCATACCTTCGCAGATTCTCTGTCTTCACATAAAAGATATTTATCTCCTTTCTTTTCATCTTGCAATGTATGATCTGCTGCATTATTGCCTTCACTGCAGGAGGGACCAGTCCCTCCTTTCTTGCAGCTACGAGAAGCTAACTGAATGTTCCCACGTAAATTTAAGCAATCCTTACACAAACAGAATAAAATTAAATTACAGATCAATATGATGTGAAGATTGGCTAATAGAAATTGTAGAAAGTGGCAGATATGACTTACTGAACCTAAATGACCAAGCTTCCCACAGTTGTAGCAAGATACTTGTTTTGGTCCATAATATTTGTAGTCTACGCATAAAAGATGGCCAAAAGCTTTGCAAACCCAGCATTGAATTTTCTATCCACATCAGATCATCAGATTCACCATTAGTTTAAAGTGAACATTGTTTACAATTTACTACTTTCAGAAAGAATGTAATCGAGATAACTAACTAGAATGTTTCACCCAAAGGTATTCCCTAGTAACCAATAAAGATGGACTAAAAATCATACGAGAACGGGGATCAAATCCCAACAGAGGCACACAAAAAATGATTTCCTTCCGTGTTCCTTCTGAGCATGGATCAAACTCTTCTCTAAGCATGATGGGCACTCAGCAAGGAAAACCGGAACCCAAGTGCTACACTAAGCTATGTGTTGCCAGGGGTAGCATGACTTGTAATTTAATATTTATGATTGTTTCCTCTCTAACTTGACCACTTGATGAAATGTAGATACAGGTGGGTAAATGGCCAATTTTACTGGACAGTTTTCTCTTTTGATAATTGGTGATCTAACCAGTATTTTTGTAATTGGTTTCATAGGTATTGTATTTCATGGTTCATATTTTGGATCTGGTTTATTCTTAGTGTTTTAATAGGTTGTGTCAAGACTCTAATTATGACCCAACTGTTGCCCCTATGTGGGAGGGACATAGCTTGGGGAGTTCCTATCTGTGGGGAATAAAATTATGATCAGCCTAATCCTTGGCTTGTAAAGTTCCAGGGTGTCTGTGCTGGTGAGAGGTTGTAAATACCTGGTGGAATAGTAAAGACGCCTGCAACTTGGCTCAAACACCATGTTGTGCAAATAATAATAATAATAATAATAACAACTGATAGTAATGTTGCTTCAATTCAAACATAAAAACATAAAATTACAGAATAGATAATTATACGGATTTTCTTATTAACGCTGTGCAAATCAAACATTAATATAATAGTCTAAGTAAGAGCTCATAGATTACCGTCAGTGAATTAGGGAGTGTGGAGTGAATATTATTTGTTTTAGAAGTCTTAAAAGAACAGTTTCCTGAAGTAATGACTCAATAGACAGCATAGCACGTATAAACAACAATAATTGTTTACCAGACAAGGATTTATGCCAATACCAGAATTAAGTTGATAATCCTCACGTACCTCAAGATCAGTAGAGGAATAACCATCTTTACAAGTGAACATATCATGTCCCGTGTCACCGCATTTTAAACAAAATTCACAAGATTGGGCTTGTAGTATCTATGTTTTAGCATTCGGACAATCTTTGGCTAAATGACCTCTTCTCTTGCAAATGAAGCAAGCAGTGACCTGGAAATGAAAAATATGGTTTTGTATGAATATCTGTCCCTTGCTACCCCCTCCCCCTCAAAGAAAAGTAAAAGAATAGAAAAGGGAGATAGCATAATATATGTAAGAAAAGTAAGGCCTCAAAAAAGAATGGTAAGCAGGAAGATGAAGCAAACGATTGAGAAAAATGTTGCCTACCACACAGATTGCTTTGATTTGTCGAACAAGCACGAGTTCATGATTTGCTATTTAACCTAAAACTAGAAAGGAGCTAAGACTAAGAAAAGAAATATTTTTTCTTTCTATATATTTTGTGAATTCCTTTTTATATGATTATGTTGCAAAACATGCATGTATCATATGCAAAAACCAAAAACATGCATGGAATTTATGGTTTGGATGTTTCCTCTTCTCTTATTCTAGTATCGAATGAGTTCTCATATGACAATGAGCTCGAATTTAGTGGAGATTTCTTTTTGGAATTTAAAGGTTCTTCTAAGTTTCTTGAACACTCTAGTGCTTATGTGAATAGCTTTTATGTGGAAGAATTTGTGGGAGGTGTACGTACTTGAGGATCCTTGGCTATATCATAGAGGTGTTTAATTTGATACATAATTTAGGGAGTTTGTGCCGCTGTTGCCATGCACATTGGGATACTATACTGATAGAAGTAAATTGGAGTTGCATGTATCATTTCCTATGGCATCTAGACGACAATATTGTTGTGCTTATATAAGTAGAAAATATTATATTGGGATGATGTCATCCACATGCTTTAGAAGGGTGTATTTATACATGCTAGGATTAATTGGGCTAAGTGAATACATGGTCACCATCTTATTTCGTTCCTACCATTATTGCTTATGATTAATGAATGTTGTTTACTAGTGCATGGCCTCTTGATTTTGCGAGGTTTAAATTCGAGAACGAATTTTTCAAGAAGAGGAGAATGATAGCATTCATGGTGGCATACCTCCAGTGAAGGGCTTGGATGAAGCTTGGGAAATCAAGAAGATGCTTATCATTGAAGAAGGGCCCAGGAATGAGCCGACAAGATGCTTATTGTAGATCAAGAACCCAATAATGTGCCCAAGAATTATGCCAAGGAGTGGACTAAGTGCTACACATATTTCATACTTCAGTCCAGGTCCAATAGGAGTAAGATTGGGGCCACATGGAGCCCAAGAGGAGGGGCCAATAAAAGGGTTGTTACATGTGAGAATCAAGCCTCCAAAGGGCTGCAATTAATGACCATAATGGCTTTTTCTCAAGCCTAAAAAAGCAGTTCAAAAGTCACAAAATAGGTGTGTTGGGAGCAAGAATTTGACAGTTTCCTTTTTTGTTAGCTAGTTTTGGGAAAGTTTGACATTATATTTTACTTGTTTTCCTAGTTTAAAGTTTCCTAGTTAGGTTTTCATTATTTGTTATTTCCATAAAACAAGGATGTGAATCCCATGCTATTTGGGATAAGGGTAGATTTTGTTATTTTACAATGAACATTATTATTAATATTACTAGCCTCTGGGTACGTGCGTTGCACGTGTATCCAAGCAAGGACTGATTCAATGTTATGGTTTCCAACACTTCCAATATGGAGCATAAATCTATGTGTAAAAAATCACTAAATTGCAAAAAATAGTCAACATGAACCATGAGTCATTTAGTACAAAATTGAACACATAAAATATGATTTTAAGACATTAATAATAGAATCAACAGTGAGAAAAACATATTAAATAAAACAGTGGCATAACTAAGATTTTCACTAAAAGGGGTTCAAAATATGAAGAACTAAACACACGAAGGTCAACATCTACTATATATATATAAAAAAACTATTTAAACCATATGTATAAATAGTGTAATTTTCCGTCAAAGAGGGTTTGAATGAATCCTCTTGGCCTTACCTGACTCCCCCGATAAAACAGATGGGTCAAGAATGATCCTTTCAACTTCATCTCATATCAATTTCCGATAAGATTGTGCTTTGTAATAACAATAAATATAAGTGAATAGATTCATTTTCTAATCAGGGTGGCTTGCATTTTTCCTTAAACTTTTGTGTAACCCATAAAATTATTGTGCCATGGTAACTCTTACAAATCTCTATGACATCATTGCATTACACGTTAGCTTCTAAATAACTTTAGGATATGACTGTTCAAATTCATTTTACACTGCAGCATATGAATATGATATATAATTATACATGAAAGGTAACTTTTCAAATTACTTATCCATTTTTTCAAATTAATTAAGGAAATCAATGCACTGATTTTGAAAGAATACATTATACCTGCATTTGAATCTAGTCCATATTATTGAACAATACAAAGTAACCTTTCAAATTCTTAACCTTTTGAGAGTAACTGAGAAAATTAAAGCATTTTTTTTAAAAGAATGAATTATATTAATTTAATTTCTCACTTTTAGTATTTAGTATAATATAATATCATTAAATGCTTAATATTTAATTAATTAAATATTTTATAGTATTATGATTGAATGTAGGGTAAAACGGTAATCCAACTTTGCACTTTGGAGCTTCCCACTTTTAGTAATATATGATATGATATGATGATTTAAGAGTTTCTTTTCTTTACACCTTTGGGTGTTGGCAACTTGGGATTAATCTTAACAACTTTATAAGAACGATTCTTCTAGAAGTAAGATTAATTCTTTAACTTGCTATTTTGACTCTTATTTGTGAATTAAAGGAGGTAATTAGTCTTATAGTAATTATTGTCTCTAATTTCTTCAAAATAGGGATCTAGATCAGTTTATTATCTAAATTCTTGATTTGACTCAATTAATATCATAATTAGCTTTAATCCGCTAATTTTTGAATACTTTAGATTGAAATTAGGGTTCTTAGCACTTAATTTTGAAATTTGGGAATTTTATTCTCGAATTTCGCATATCTTTAATCTTAATATTTTCTTGTTTTTATTCAAGTAACCCGATTCCTATCAAGTGATCTCCTCGAGCATGGTTTGGAAAACTTATAGCATTGTTATTCAGGAATTTGGCATGGTTCTAAGTGAAGCAAATCATTCTATATATTATCCTCTCTGCTCCAGGATTGTGCATGTACTTTTTTTTTAAAACTGGTAAGAAGGTTTGTGCATGTACTTGGGAGTTTACATTAATGACGTAGTATCACAGGTAATAATGACAAAGGAATTACCAAATCAAAACATTACCTTCTTAGCACTGCCATACTAAGGATCTTGCTCGACTAATGTACTTCTTGGGCATTGAGGTTGCTCAATCCAAATCATGTTGTTTCACAAATGACATACATAGTTGATATTCTTGAGGTGGCAGGATGATAGATTGTAGGCCTATTAGTACTCCAATAGATCCAAATATTAAGCTCCTACCAGGTTAGGGGAAGCCTTTTAGTGATCCCAAAAGATATAGGAAACTGGTAGAAAATTGAATTATCTCACTAAGACTCTACCTGAGATTGCCTTCCAGGTTAGTGTTGTAAGTCAGTTCTTGAATTCTCCTTATGACCGTCACTTGAATGTCGTTATTCACATTCGCATATGCATAAAATCTACTCCAAGGAAAGGACTACTTTACGAAGACCGAGAAGATGAAAAAATTGTTGGATATACGGATGGAACTGGAAGACCCTCCTACAAATGATCCACTTTTGGATAGCGTGTTCTAGTTGGGGGGAAATTTAAGGTGTCTTTGAAAATTAAGAAACAAAATGTGGTTGCTAGATCGAGTGCACAAGAAGAATACGAGCTATGGCAATGGTCACATGTAAAGTCATATGGAT